TCCCTAAGATTTTGAAATCTTTTCAAGCATAGATCAGTATCTCTGGAGTGCTAAATCTCCCAAATCCTAGACATACCACTGATTTAACCAAACCGACCTCATCATCTCTCTCCCCAACACTACTTGAGATAGTGCTCCTACATTTTAGTTGGTAGTAATCCCATTTGCCCACTCAAGTAGTCCAACTGGAAAACTGCATCCTTCATTCCTCCAATTTAGTCACCAAATCCTATCCATTTTAAGTAACTCTTAAATCTGTCTATTTTCTATCACACTGACTGTTAAACTTACGTTATTTCTACCTGGAGTACCATTACATCTCCTTGGTGGGTCTCCTAGCCTCCACTCTGTTCTGTACATCTCATCTCAGCAGTACATATTACTCTCAATATTGTAAGTGTTGCTCACTTGTGTGTGTCTACTAATAGTTACTGAGCTCTTTGAAATCAAACAAGGTGTACTATCCTTTTTTTCTCTACAATTAGATGATAACCTGTATGGAGTGTACATTCAATTAACGTTTAGTAAACGGATGGTGTTATGATTTGTGGCTAGGTGTCCCCCTCAAAGCCTCACGCAGTCATGGAGGCAGGCTTTTAGAGTTTGTGATTGATTCACAGGTGAATGCTAGGATTATGTGTCTAAGTGCTACACCTGTCCTGGAGTGGGTAGCCTGCATACAATATAAAGGAAGAAAAGAGGCTTGCTCTCACACTCCTCCCTTTTTGTTCTTGTTGCTGTTGCTGTTTTCTACTGCTTTGAAGTATTGCCCCTCTGCCATGTGCCACCCTGCTTTGGAGCCAGAAGATATGGACTGAAACCTCCACAAACTGTGAACTAAATAAACCTTTCCTTCCTTCATTTTTGAATGTCAAGTACTTTGTCTCAGCAATGGGAGAAAAATAACCAAGAGAGATAGATAATTCTCAAACTATCATATCCCAAGATGTCAGACATTTCAGGAAATAAGATGTTTTCACTAGCAAAATTCTGCTCACCTACCCTCCCTGATCCTATTACATCTAACTATCACAGCAAACTAACTAGCTGCCTATTATAGCTAAGTAGGAAATTGTAGAGACTAAAAATTGATTTAAACATATGCATAGTCTCTAATTCCTCCACAGGAATATATCCCCATTTTCTGCATGTTTAGCTTTCAAATAAAATGTTCAATGCCCTCTTTATTCCTTCTTTCAAGACCTATTTTAAATACAAAGCATTCATCCTTTGTTTTTATTGCTACATATATTCATATTTTAGTCCTTTCATTCTAACTGCAAAACACAGCCACTGCTCCAGTCAAGTAATAGGGCTCTGTCAACACAGTGTATATGTGAAGGTCAGAGGGGAGGAGAATTCAAGAGAGAATTTACAGTTGGCATGTGAAGATGCCCCTAGGCACTGTGCCATCTCTTCACCCAAAGCCATGCTTGTTTTGGTGTGTGCTCCTCACCCAAAGGCCTTTGCCCCAGGACATCAGCTCCCTCCCTATCTGAACATCACAACTCTACTTCAGATGTCATAGGAAGAAAAGGAGCTGTTTTTTAAAGGTTAGGTTGAAGCAGGATTGTGTGAGCTAGAAGGAAAATGCCTTCATCAGAGAGACTTCTGGAAAATCATCCAAACTGGATTATCAAGTATAGGTCCAGAGGAACTCTGGAGTCTCCATCTGACTGGAGTGGAGGGAAAGAGTCTTCATAAAGAAGAGAGCACAAGCAGGATGGAGGCATTTGAAGTTCAGAACAAGTATAAAAAATAGCCCTGGCCTGCACATTTTTCTTTTTCTTTTTGGGGTCCCTACCATGTGTCCCTCCTCAGAGTCTGGGGGTCTCCGATAATCACTCCTGCCCAGAACCTGTCCCCCAACCCATATCTACCAGCTACTCTAGTCGCTCACCATCCCGTGTGTGCACCAGAGTTCCTGAGTCCTACCCACAAAGAGCAGCATGAGGGCAGGGCAAGGGCAGCCCAGGGTACCCTGGTGGATGATACCAGAGGGAGGGCGGTACTCCTGACCAGCACTGTTTACTCAATTTTTCTGTAAGTCTGTCTGAAAATGAGTCTTTTAACTAAAAGGCAGGAAGGAAGGAGGGGGAGAAAAAGGAGGACTGAAGAGGAAGGAAGGGGGATGGAGTGGAGGGAAGGAGAGGAGATCAGGAAAGGAAGGGAAAGGGAAGGGGAAGGGGAGAAGAAACGGGAGGGATAGAGGAGGGAGAGAGGGCTGGCCAGGCAGGCAAGGAGGAAGCAGGAGTGGGGGAGGACTGGCCAATGAGAAATTTCTTTCATTGCAGGTGGCCTGAAAATATTAAAGCAGTTGTCACCTAACCCGTGCTACACTTTCCCTGCATTGCCCCAGGCATTCGCCAAAGTCTGCCGAAAACATGCCTGGGGTGAGTGGTCCTTTGGGAAATGGAGGAAGGGACCGATGTCCAGTACAGGATGAAACATTGAGAAAGGCTTAGCACTCACAAGGGAAGACCAAAGCTTTAGTACCAGCAAGAATGGAGAGGAGACCACAGGAATGCAAACCTCACTGACACTGTGCTATCCCATGTGGGAGCCACGACTCATGTGGTTACTGAACTCTTGAAATGTAACTAACCCAAACCGAGATGTGCAAAGTATGAAACAGTCAAATATCTCAGGATTTTTATATTAACTACATAATGAAATAATATTTTAGATATATAGGACTAAATAAGGTATATTATGTTATTTCTTAATTTCACTTGTTATTTTCACTTTTTAATACAACTATTAAAGTATTTGGAATTTCACACACAGTTTTGCCCCACATTCCTACTGGGCAATGCTATTCTAGGATCCTGGGGGAAGTCATGGCTTTTCTATTGTAAAAGCTATAGAGAACTTAGACTGCTTTGTTTGAATATTAAAGAAAAGGGTGACCCTAGGTATGTGTGACACAAGATAGTGGATAATGACAGATTAAATCAGGAAAAATACAACTTTAAAATAGCTGACTCCTTCATTTTGTTAAATCAAAAAATAATTCCTGTAAGTACAAGTGATGTTGAGCACAAATTCAACTTATCAGGAATATATTCATAGTGTGAAGCAAAGTATATAGTTTAACTTTCCATCACAAATAACTTGCATTTGATCCTCAGTTTTAAACTAGAAGAGAAAAAGACAAAACAAGGAAGCATCCACCATGCAACATGGATGGATGTGTATTCAAACACCTAGAGATATTGAACAGAGACTGTCAAGATCTGAGTAATTTCACTAGAAATATGAAATATATCCAAGGACCACGGTCATGTATGAATTGTATTTTTTTCCTACTAATCCACTCCTAGAGGACTAGTCGGAAATAAAAAATTTACACAAAATTTGTGAGGAATAAAAAACAAAATATAATGCTGATTCCAATTTAGCTACACTGGATGCAAGCAGAAAACAGGTTTCTCTATGACATGCTATTTCAGAAGTACTTTCTGATTGTATGGTACACAAATATCTGGTTATCTATATGCAAAATCTGCAACCTTCAGACCTTGAGTGATTTAAGTATCCTATGGACTACTCCCTTTACTTTGTAGATAAAGAACACTGAGCTACAGAGACATAAGCAACTTGCTGAGGTCACAGAGTTGGTGCACCGGCAACAGCAGAACCCAAGCCCTATGATGTGGCAGTATCCTTCCATCCCAGGTGTCACTCTCATGTTTCCGGTTAACTGAGATTGCCCAAAAACTTTGGTTTGATTATCAGACTCATTCAGAGTTTGGGAGGATTAAATATAACATGTATATTACATCATTTGTTTTTAATACATTTTATTGTGTATACTTAAGGCATTTAGTACAATATTATAAGGTGCATATATAGGAAAGTGGGTGCTCTATTGGAACACACTATCCTCCATCAGGTCACACGGCAACCCATTCCCCTGCCCCCAGTGGCAAGAGCAGCTCTGGCTCCTCATCTAGCAAACGCCTAGCTATAATACCCTAACCACCCTCACACAGAGCAGGGAGCTGAACTGAAGAAGCTGAGCTCCTTCCCTTCCTCTGCCTCCTTTTCACCAAAGCTTCTGATGCTAACGCTTTCTCTCTTGGAAAAGGCATGCATTGAAAAGTTATTATACTCACTGAAGCAAATAGCCATGGACTCTAGAAAACTTCCCCCCCTTTTTTTTTTAAATCTTTGAGGGGAGTAGGTAGCTTGGGACGGATGGATGGCCTGGGATGACAGTGCTCAAGATTCTCAAAATGAAGCTCAGTTTCAAGAGATAAGTGGTGACCATGTGTAGGATAAAGCTCAAACAAGCTCAGGGTCTTGCCCTCCCTTCTGTCTCTCCCTACCTTACTTATCTACATCCTGAGCTATTCAGATGTGCCCTCAGATCAAGGAACCTGTTTCTGCAGGAAACACATAAACCACCGTCTTCTCCCTCTTCCCCCAGTCAGCCATGCCTGTCATCTGGAATAATAAGCCAGCACATTGCATACTGAGATGCTGCCCTTTGTGAGCCTTATTTATGGAAATTAACCTCCAATTGATAGCTTCTTGGACGGGGTATTTTTTCTGCCTTGGAGGTCTTCAAAATGTTCTTAATTCTCACTTCTCAACACACATACACACATAGACACGCAGAAAAGATAGTGACTTAATTTCCCCAAAATTACAAGTTTTTCAGTTCTCCTTTAATGAATAGATGCTGGAGCAAGGTTCCTTTGCAGTGGAAATCTTTTATTTCAGAGAGAAATAAATAGAACACGCAAAATACAAAATCCCATTTCCATTGTTTGTCCCTGGAATTAGTCCCTCTCAGGATCAGAGACTTCAATGAGTACTCACAGACCTGGGAACTACCAGTCTTGAAGGGATCTGTTTTCCCCACAATAATTTCATGAAATCTCAAACAAGAGGTCAGTGATTCCTAATGGCTTGTGAAATCATTTATGCTACCATCCAGGGCCTGGCAAAGCATCAAGGGAACAGGCACAGCAGGGATGCTGGAGGCACGGTACCTTTGCAGGTGAAACATTTGATGTGGAAATGCTTGGTTTGCACCCGAAGCACTTCGCCCTTGCATGGCTCCCCACATTTATGGCAGTGAATGACAGGCTTCTCCGACGGGTGGTGAGGGTCCTGAGGGTGGGCCACTGGAAAAAACAAAAGATCCAGGTTAGATGGGAGCATTCCTACAAAACAGTCCTCAAAAAAATGATGCATAGCTAGCTACCCTTATCGTTTGGAATTTATGAGTCACATACTCATTGAAAAATCATGAGCGGACCTGAGATCTGCACCATGTTGGAACTTAGGACACTGGGAAGCCAAGCAAGCACCTCCCCTCCCTGGTAAGTGGTGGCGTTGTGGCAGACTGCGGCCCTTCCAGGGGGAAAACCAGCATCTGCTCCTGAGATCTGCGCCATGTTGGAACTTAGGACACTGTGAAACCAAACAACCAGCCTGCCTCCCTGCTAAGCAATAGTGAACCTACTGATGCAAAAAAAAAAAAAAAAAAAAATCATGAGCTGAGCATTAGCCGTGCCCCATGCCACAAGCATCACTGGTAACTAAGAGAGTAGTGACTTTAATAGTCTGCTGGGGACAACCCAGCTCGTGGCTCTGTGGAGCCTGCCACGCTTTCCCTTTTGCTTCTCTAGGAATTCTCTAGGACTATACAAGTGGGCCATTATTTACAGTCTTGTCTGTCTCACTATTCCTAAACATGCATTCATAGTATCTTTTTCTTGAACTAGTATGTTTTAGCCAGAATTGGCTGTAGACTGCCAATTCCTTGAGACTAGAGACTATTTCTTCAGGTTCATGGATTTTTTTTTCTTCCTACTTGTATGTCTCTTCCCCTGCCCCAGCTCCCATGACAGCAGTATGCTTCTGCACCAAGAAGTACAGAAAATGTTTATTTACTTTTTACTCAGTATGTGTCGGACACATTCTGATCAACTTCACTAGAGACAATTTCCTGGTCCTAATTTGGAAATTAGGCCTGTAGGACACCTATTAGGAGACCCCTATTATATACACAGCTCCTGATACACACACTGCAGGCAATAATTAAATATTGCCAGGCACACCTTGAGACAATGCTACCTAAAATAAATTAGACAGACAAGCTTAAAAGCTGCATCATTCTTCTCATATGAGAAACCCAAAGTATAAATAATTTAAAGAGAAAAATGAGTGATAACAGGAAATAAAAAACTAGACCTTTTGCAAATGGGAAGGAGACCAAGGGATGGAAGGAGAGAAGGGAGGGAGAAGAGGGAGTAAAAAGGATTAAGATGTGATTTGCATTTGTTTCAACCCCTCACGATGAATGCAATCATTATGTATCACAAACATATATTAATTAAAAAAACTTTTCGGAAAATACTAACCTAGGAGCCATGTGAAACCGTCTGAGCCTCTTTCCTTTCCCATAAAGTAAAGAGAATTGGACCAGATGGTTTCTAGGCTCTTTTCAGACCAAAGTCTCATCATTGGACTTTGGGGAACTGTTCTGTCAGTTTCCAGGACTGCCCTGGTCTGGGAATAGAATGTGCCTTCTTTTTCAGAGGGTCAATGGGGCAGGCAGTGTGAGGACACTTGTGGTTTTCAGACAAGCAAGATCTTCAGTTAACTTGCAATTTCTTCAGCCAGAGAATGCAAACAGGCCTTTTCTGCTATCAGATTCCTTTTCTAATTTGGGGTCTAAGAACCCATTTAATACGTACAAATGTCTTAAGTATCCACATGAGCATAATATGGGACAAGAACAGAAAAAATTAAAATTAATCAACCAACATAAAGAAAAAGGATGATTTTTTTCCTCAAATGGCAAAACGGCACTGGATAAGGGTATGGGGGCAGATACTGCTGAGGTCAACTTAGATAACCCCTTATGAGCCAGGTGCGGTGGTGGACATCTGTTGTCCCAGCACTCTGGGAGGCTGAGGCAGAAGAATGGAAAGTCTGAGCCCAGCCTGGAAAGCTTGACAAGCCCCTGCCCCAAAATAAAAATTACAAAGAACTAGGGGCTGGAGGTTTAGCTCAATGTGAAAGTGCTGGGGTCAAACTCTAGAAATAAGAGAGGAAAAAAAGCACCTTACATTAAGGAGCTCACTGTACATGCAAGTATAATAGCTCCTTGTTTTTCTCAGACCTGCGTAATGTTCTCATTTCACATGGAAAGAGTTTGAGCAAGACAGTCCAAGTAATCCATTACTGGCTAAATTCTGAGCAACAAAGTTCTTCTTGTGAAATCTGGACTAAGAGCAGATGCAGTTTCGGGTCAAACATCTGATCTGTACCCTCTGTACTGGGTCCTGAACCTGTCAGGCAAGGGACCAGCATTGCAGGTCACCTGCATCTCCTTATCTACCAGCTGGGATCACTCTTGAAATCCTTCATCTACAACACAACTCAGCATTTTGTAAAGGAATTAAGGAGGCGCATGGTACTACAATTGACTTTGAAAGTGATCTGTATCAGGGCCAAAAATATGTTTTCTTGGGCATTAAGAAAAAATGTCACTTAACAGTATCTGCTCCAAGTGCTGGAAGAGAGTATGTGCATGGTAGTTACTTTAATCTCTTTGCTGGGACAAAATACCTGACAGCCAATATGAAGGAAGGAAAGGTTTATTTAGCTCACAGATTGAGGACGTTTCAGTCCATAATCAGCTGGCTCCAATGCAGGGTGGTGTGGTGACAGGCACAGTTCATGGCAGCAGAAGACAGCAAAAGCAGCAAGAGCAAAAAGCAGGGAAGAGCAAGCCTCTCTTCCTCCTTATAGTGTATGCAGGCTACCTGCCCTAGGGCAGGTACAGCACTCACCAAACCTCCATGCTCTCCTCTGAGCACAGGCTCAGGATGTTCACAGAGAGGACCCTGGTCCCCTACGGAGTCACTTAAGCTTCTTAAATTAACACAATGTATCAACCATTACAGTGAGTTTTTTAAAATTAATTCTCACTTCCAAAGGAAATAATATTTCATCCTCCCCAACTTTGTCTCTCAGTGAAGTGGGCAGTATTGTTCCCACTCACTGCGTGAGGAAATAGAGCCCCAGAGAAGCTGAACAACTTTCCCAAGTAAGAGTAACTGTGAGGGTGAAGATTTATACCCAGGCCATCCAGACTTCTAAATTTGGGCTTCTTCCATGCTGTATAAATCAGGAAATTGTTACAAAGTCAGGCAATAATTTATTTAACAGGTTCTAAAAGCAGCAGCTAGGACATGGCTTATAAAGGAAACATCCACAGTATGTGTGGTAAGATATTCATAGCTTGGTGACAATTCTCAAGGTGATCAAATTGATCCCTGTATCAGAAGCCCCTTGTGCCAGTATTACAAATGCACATTTTTCTTTAGCCCCAGTTAGAAATGGCTATTACCAAAAAGTCTAAAAAATAACAAATGTTGTATCTGCAGAAAGGGTAACTATCGTACACCATTAGTAAGACTGTGAATCAGTGCTACCATTATGGGAAAACTGGAGATAGAACTGCTGTATGACCCAGCAATCCCAATGCTAATTAATATGTTGAAGAAACCATGCTTGCATGCTTAGTGCAACACTGACCACAGGAGTCAAGAAATGAAATTAACCTAGATAAACAGAACATGGTAGATGCATACAGTATAATTTAGCCATGAAAAGAATTCTGTCCAAATGGAACAAGAAGACACTATATTAGGTAAAAATAAGTCAGGGAAATAAAGACAATCACTACATGTTCTTGAATATATACAGAAACTAAGGCAGCTATCAAGGTCTGGAAATACTGTGGGGTGAGGGTGGGATGGAGAGAATGGGAAATGGTATGGGGGTGCCTCATAGGAAAATAACTTCTAATGTCTGACAGCATGGAAGGATAACTATGGTTCACACAACTGATTATTTCAAAATAACTTGTGGGATTTGAATGTTGCCAACACAAAATAATAAAACTCTGAAACTCCAGGGTAGCTGGGCATGGTGGCTCATGTGATCCCAGCCCTTGGGAGGCTGAGACAAGAGGATTGCTGTGAGTTCAAGGCTAGCCTGGGCAACAAAGTGAGCTCAAGTCCAGCCTGAATTTCAGAGTGAAACCTTGTTTTTTAAAAAGACAATTAAAAAAAAATAGTTCTAAAAGAGGAAAATAGGAATTGCTATTAGTACATGGCTTAATGGAGATGTTCACTGAAGTAATCCTTTACAACTTATAAGCATGGGGAAACTAAAAAGAGCTCATATTCTTGCCCCAAATAACCAGTGAGTTACTACAGGAAGTGTCTTTCACCCTCCAGTCTTCTCAGCTCTTCCCAGCTCTTCCAGTTGTTTATCCTGGAACTTGGGCAGACACAGATAAAGTCTTCAAGCCTCATCAATTTTGTTATCTAAATAAGAGTACAATGACAAAAGAGTGTGGCTGAGTGTTTTCTAAATAATGAGGAAATAGGAAGAGCCTGAAAAGGTAAAGAGACTCCTCTACTACCTCCAGTGCTGTAAACTTCCAACTGTAAGGCTAACTGAGGAGTTTTATAATTTCTTTTAGACTCAAACAAAAGCAGGTAAGCCACATCTCGGAAACTCCAGTGTAACGGGGCGTGGTGGCACACTCCTATACTCTAACACTCGGGAGGTTGAGGAAGGAGGATCACAGTGAGCTCAAGGTCAGCCCGAGCTACACAGTGAATTCAAGGCCATCCTGGACTCCACAGCAAGAGCCTGTCAGAGAAGAGAGAGAGAGAGAGACAGACAGACAGACAGACAGACAGACAGACAGACAGAGATTGACTGACTCTCCAGGGCAGGACAGAAACTCTTTTTTTTTTTAATCGGTACCGGGGATTGAACTCATGACTACGTGTTTGCAAGGCAGGCACTTATGCCACTGAGCTAAATCCCCAGCCCCAAGGACAGAAACTCAAAGTCCCATTTTTTAATATGTCACTTTTCAATATCTCAGCAAATGGACCTGAGATTGAGGCCTCTGGGGAGATGTTCCTATTTCAGACCTTACAGGAAGGCCACAAGTCCAGACTTTGACATGATGGGATAACTGGGCCACCCTTCAAACCCAGAGCCAGCCTTGCCTGACTAAAGTTATTTAACTCTGGGGTCAGACCATGAGCTAGACCATGAGAAACAACACATTAGAGAAAGCAGTTTT